TTAGAATGCTGTCAATGCACTGTGACTACATTGGCATGTATTATCCTGCTTAAATAATATCATCTTCATCAAGCCAAGTAATTATTTAATCGTAGCTTGCCAACTTGAGTAAAATAGTCTAAATTGATTTAATTGTTAAATGAACAACTCAGTAGATCTGCAGATAAGACTTACATTAACTTTAACTATGTTTGAGAAAAATTCTGTCATAAAATCTTTCTTCAGATAAAGAGTAAGATACCTGGCATTTCGCCATTTCAGAATATAAGTTCTACCAACCAAAAAGAATAACAAGATCTAAAAACAACAATAGAAATTATAGAATATAAACTCCATTTAAACTCCACTCCTTAGCTTCGCGCCATATTGAATTTCGCGGTCGCGCTGGTAAAGGCCTGGGGACTAGGTGCTCTACCGTATCTGAAATAGCCTTCACCCCCATGTTTCAATATCTTTTAGATTGAGATTATTTTTCGACTTAGAAGATATTTTGTTAACGTCTCAGTTCCAAACATTGTTGCGATACTACTGTACAAGTATATATCCAAATGCTGCAATGTTGTTTTGAACCGCAGTATGACAAGCATGTATACTACCGCACGCCTTCTTATGCACATAACCACCACATCCAGTTATTGAAGTACCAAAGCCAATACAGGAGTTGCATGTGTTGCAGTTGTTTTCATTATTAGCGACTAATCCAATCCGTACATACATCCTCATATAAGAATACCCCCCACGGATATTAAACCCTTGTGTATTACAATTTTCTTGAAGAGATGAAGCATCAATAAGTGATTTCCATTTTGACTTTGTAATGTTTGTTGCTGTGAACGTTCCGTTTGCGATTACGTTGAAAAGCGATCTTGCTTGGTGGTCAATCGCAATCCATTTTGTATCAGTTTCTGTTCCTCCCTTGACTTTCATTCCGAGGCATATTTTCTGAAACGGCGTGTTCCAATAAGAAGCCAGCTTTGTTTGTTTATCTGTCATACCTTCAAGTCCGTTTTCGACTTCGTGGGTTCTGTTGTTGTCCCAGTAAAGAGAATCATTTTTGAAGGTATCCTTTAAAAAAATGTTTGCAAATATAGACATAAACCAGGATAATCGAAATCATGTATGTATGGACGTAATAATACTGCAACGGAGTTGCTACTGACTGGAATTTGTTTTGAAAACTTGGTTTCAAATTATTTCGAACAAGGCGCAAAATAGGGGCACGTATTTTGGTTCAACTTATTCTCATGGCCATATCTCAGCCTTTTCAGTGTGAATAAAAATGTGTTTGTGCAATGTATTTGTGCAATATCACTCCGTGTAGGTAATTATAATTTGCAGATAATTAACACAAATTCTGCTTTCATAAGAATTTATTATCAGTAATGTGAATTATGCTATTTATTACTTCGGTGAAGGCAAAATTTCAAATGAGATTATCGATTGTCGTTTTGTTGCCAACACCTGCGAACTGTCGAATGAATTATCCGAATTTAAACCAAACGCGAATTTGAATATAAAACTTATAAGAAAGTCAAAAAATAAAAATGTCACTCGAATAGATATTTTTTCGAGACATAGCGGATAATTTAAAAATTATAAGCCACCCAACAGCCTATGTAAGTGCAGATGAGTTGGGTTTTGACAGTAGTCATGGCTGGAAATATTTGTTGCTGGTGACGAGGGTACGGGGAAGCATGGACGTCCCTAGAACTTTTTAATTAAAAGCAGTCGAATACATGCAGTCGACAGATCTGACAGTTTTTATTGTTGTAGAAATGGCATATATATATATATATATATATATATATATATATATATATATATATATATATATATATATATATATATATATATATATATATATATATATATAGTGAAACGTGTGTTTTGCAAAGAAAATACAACATATGTAAATCTGAGTTAGAACTAATAGACAAAAGGCATCCAAAACATAAACTACACCGAGAATACAATTTCACTCAGCTGTCAAGTTGAACAGGGAAAATCACACGCCTAATTGTTATAGTGATGAACTGACGCGTCTTTTGAAGTTGACAGGACAGTAAACCACATAGATTAGTACATTTAAGTATATGATATATAGTATATTTAACAATTTTTAAATTGCATTGTAATATAGAATTTTTTACTATTTATAACCTTGTAACACTTAACGTCATGTAATTCAGTCTTCTGACTGCCAGATGATGTTTTTATTAAACAAACTATTCATTCATTCATATATCCGTATCAAAGGGGTTGATCGGTTAGATTTCAGGCTACACCACTCGCTATTTCGGTATTTTCTTTCTCCGACCATGGATCCTTCTATTTTACACTATGAACGAATAATCGTCAAACAAGCTACAAACTCACGAACCAAACATATAAAATCCCAAAGGAATTTGTTCATTAGATTCCATTCGAAAATGTCCGACATTTCATTCCGATCTGTACGTCACGATCGTTCTAATTAATGATAATTTCTTCCTTGTTTTAAATTTCAATTCTCATGAAAAACATTCGATTGGGAGTGAATATGTAACCGCTCATTCAATTCAGATGACCAGATCTATACGTGAGCTCAGTACGATTAGATTAGCGAGAACAAAGCACAATAGAGAGGTTAAGATACCCCTGTTCCGTTTTACGGATACGAGTATCGCCATTTTGTTTACCAATTTTTGCTGATGTCAGCATTTTTACCCGTAATTTCTACCCGTTTCCCCACGGTAAACCATGGTCTACACGTAAAAGACAAACGGGTACGGGTGTTTTCTGTTTACTATTTGTGGACCGTTTAAATAGTAAAAATTTTCAACAGTCTTACCCAAATAAATAATGCACATATGCTAGTCAAAGTTTCCAACAATCTATGGCGAACCTCAATAGCGACCATTCTCTGATCGGTTTTCTCACGCCGGAGTATCTTGGATTTCTTAAGTTACAAGTTATTCCCCGATTTACGGGTACGGGTACGTGTGTATTACCCGGAACCTGGGTATCTTAACCTCTCTAATGAAAGGCTCGTGCCGGAACATCTGCAGTTCAAACATCGATCTACCTAATGTAGAAATGGCATTTGGAAATGCACACTTCAGGTCATCAGAATTGTCTTCCTTGACTTTCGAAAGGCGTTTGATTTGATAGATCACAACAAACCTCTGAAGTCTTTCATCCACATTGGCGTGCTGCCAGCGTAGGTAAGCTGGTTCGTATTCTATCTCCATGCAGGCAGATCGCAAATAACATAATTTCAGGTATGGCGTGTAAAATTATAGAAACTATACTGTAGATTGATTGTAACCTTAAATAGTGCACTAACGCCGAAGACATCATTAAAAAAAGGAGCAAAGCGTTTTATCCGTTAAGTTATTATGAATTTCAGTGGCGCAGCAACAAGTGACCTGTTGGTCTTCTATTTTACAGTATAATTCGTTCTGTTCTGGAATACAGAGAGGAAATTTGGAGGGGTGGTTTAACACAAATGCAAAAGAAAAACATAGAAATAATTCAAAAACGTGCCCTGAGAATAATATACAGCTATTTCAATCCGATAAATCCACCGAGAAAAGCGGAAAAGTCGAATACGAGCTGAGCGCGAAATGCAACTGGGAATCGCTAATAAATTCATTTATTTATTAGCGCTTCCCAGCCCAGCAGCCTTTCACGCTCGTATTCGACTTTTCCTCTTTGCTCGGGGGACAAACTTAATTGAAATAGCTGTGTCCAGGTCATGGTGACTTGGAACTTCTTTTAATTTAATCCAAAGCAATCTACCGACCTTGGAAGGATGCAGGAGAAATATGCGCGTTCGTAATCGAGGATATGTTGGAATCATCGCACAGATTTCATGGACTATTACCGAAAAAGGTGATTAAAATAAGAGAAAGAAACACCAAGACAAATGGAGATAAGGTGTATATAGTCTAATCAGCCTGGCAGTAGATGTCAAACAAATTGCAATAGAATTTATTTCACTACTGTTAAGGGCTGGTGTCGTAATTTACATAATAAAAAAAAAATACCCTCGGTGGAACATAGTTAAAATTTACAGTAAAAATTACAATGCCTTGCCACAGGGTA